TACTTTGTGAGTCGTAAAATACATTAGTGGGAAGTTATTATACACATTTTGACAATGAAAACAGAAAAAAGCAAACCACATAACTGATCCAAAAGACATGCAGCATATTGCATCTTCTGGAGTGGATATGTGCCATTCACATGTTACCAATCTAAAAGCCTAAGCCGTTTGGGGGGGACGGGGGACGGGGGGTTTACTAAGCTAACATATGGAATTGTTTTAAGATGGTCATACTATACATCATTTAGCTATTTCATTTGAATTTTAGGATCCCTTTAGGTATCCCCCGCAAATAAATATAACATTATTTGATAAAATATTGAATTTGATATTTACTACTATAGCATTGAATAACACATTCATAAATGGCAAAAAAGACAGTCAACAGATAAATCATAAGGTATAAGGTTTTGAAGTGTCTGTCCTATATCTAGGAGATATAAGAAAGATCAGGAAATATTTGTGGTTTTTTGGACACATATTTATCCCCTTATTTTTGTTGGCACAAAACATACTTTCATTTGTTTGTATGGGTTACCTTCAAACGAGTCCCGTGACACTTGTGGGAGCAAAACATAGAACACTGTCGTGTTTGTGAGTCTCCCCTTTCCATAGAGTGGTCATAATAGTTTGTAGGCCAAACCGTTCGGATGCTACAGACGTTTTCGTGAGAAGACCGATTTTCGGGATGTCTCATGGTCTGACAAACACCGCTGTAGCTCCGCCACCTTCCACAACATTTCATTTACGTTTCAGTCATTTAGCAGACGCTCTTATCCAGAGCGACTTACAGTTAGTGAGTGCATACATTTTCATACTGGCCCCCCGTGGGAAACGAACCCACAACCCTGGCGTTGCAAGCACCATGCTCTACCAACTGAGCTACGGAAAGCCGACATAGTCGGATGCAGTGAATTGAGACGCAACCCATGCAAAAAAACGGATATATCTAGCTTAAACGGACAGATTTTGATGCAGATTTTTTAAATGATGTTACTTAGATTGAGGCACAGGTTTTAATCAGTGGTTCTGTATGTAAATGCATAACTTTGCGATGAGTCTAGAGTCTACTTGTTAATAATGTTAGAGTGGACATCTTGGAAGGTCATTGGAAGCCTTTGGAAGAGCAGTGAAGACTTGTTACTGTAAACTCATTTTATTCTATAAATCAGCCTTTTATATGGTTCCCTCTGCCAAGGAGTGAGGTCAAGTTCATGTCAGGGATGACGTAGGATCTCATAAACACTTTTGTGCTGTTATCTCTCTAGTTGTTATCGTAAGATAGTGTGGGTTTCCTCAGTTCTTCATGTCTTGCATTTTGCATCATATGATGCAAAATGCATCATAGGAGAATGATTTCTGTATTTTGAAAGTTACATATCTTGAAAACTTGATTGCTGACAAGCAAAATGTTTTGGGACTATGTCAACAATGGACTAATGAAACAAATAACAATATATCGTTTTGGGGTGGAATTTTCCTTTAAGTGTTTTGGGGAATTGTATTTAGGCCCTTAGTAATCAATCATAATAAAGATGTATGCTTGTGTTTCTGATATATATTTCTTACTGTTTATGAATGAGATCTCTAGTAATAACACAAGACATCTGGTCAATGCTACACAAGAAGGACTGACATGTTTAAAAAGTCAAAATAGAGTTACAGAGAATGTAGGGGTTCAGTGGGAGGATGCTGAGTATGTGTGTGTATGTGCACTACATGTTTAGTGTATGGTTTCCATAGGAACTCTGCCAGTGCAGGCAGGGTTGAAACCATGCTAGCCTTTGGGAGTTGAAGGGTCACACAGCTCTGCAGTGAGAATGTTCTGCTTTTCATTACATCAACCCATTTGTCCCCGTATCTGCCTCGCCGTGGAGCCTCTACTCTGCTTCCTCTCTCCAAGTGTGTGTGTGCGTGTGTCACCTTTTTGAACCGATAGGTTAGAGGTCCTTGGTGCAGCAAGAAATGTTTACGTTTGGTGCATTGGGAGACCAAATTCTACTATAAACTTTCTGTGTGTGTGTGTTTGCGTGGGAGTGAGTGCATTTGTGTTCGTATAGTAAGTCAATGTTATTAACTGCTCCTAAAAGTTTGCAGAGCACATCAATGCTTTGCTGTAATTTGTGTGTCTTTGTGTTTGTGCTCTGCCAACTTTTGTGTCGATTTTATCTATATTTTCTGCAATAAAGTCAATTTAATTCCTCAGAACAAAAACATTTTGCGAGTGCTTTGTACACAACCCAGAGTGGGAGTTCATTAACAGAGTTAACAGAGTTAAATAGTAATATTTCCTGAATGGACTAGCAAACCACATTCCCAAGGGACCAAAACAGGGGACAAAGTCACAAATTTTTCAACAATATAGTTTTAAAAGGATGTGAGAATTTTTACATCAATCTGAAGAGGTAATGAACTGTAATTTCTAGTTTTTAATTGTTCTTAATTCATTCAACACTTGACTAGAACTGGAATACATTTGACTGTGTCTGTATGCTAATCAAGATAATATGTGCACAATCCCACCAGTGCTTGAGGGGCATATCACTATGTTGCTGTTTGAAATGTGATGTCTATGTGTGCTCTCTATGGCACAGGAAATATCCTTTTGTCCATTTGATACATACTTTTTCAATCTAAAGTTCTGAGAGTTGTAACTGACTGAAAATACCCTTGAGAGTTAGACTTGGTGTAGATGGTGTTTATAGAATACTTAGATTATTCAAGAAACAGATCAAGTGCACCTATGATGTCTAGACCCTAGAGCTCTCTCAGTAAGGGATGCAATTGTATGAAATGCATTGCCCTTCAAAGTGCATTGTAGGTTTAGTCATATTCTGACAACCCCAAGATTGTGGAAATGGGATTATTTCAGTGTGACACATACACAATACTCCAGTTCCTAAAAGGATGTCTGATCCCTGTGAATTGAAGAGGGGAGCAATCCTGCAGTGTGTATTGAGTCATGCATATGCGAACATCTGTGTTGCATTGCTTCCACTGAGCCACAGAGCAAACAACCTATGTTTTAGAATAGCCTACTACTTACTGCCTGCATTCACTTTTTGACTGTATTCGTCAGGGGAGATACACAGCACATTGAGGCTTTGAAGTTTTCTTTTTTGGTAATGTTGGGTCAAATATTTGACGTCAACCTCTGCTCCAAAGCCAATGGAAAGGCAGATTTCTCAATTATTCATGAAATTAAGTAGTGATGTTTATTTTCAAGATCGTCATACACATACTGACTTCTACACACGCACGCACTTCCACTTCACTTTATATGTGAGATAATTAGCTTACTTTTACTGAAGTCAGTCAATTGATCATGAGTTGGATTTGGTTGGAATGGGGGGGATACGAATTGCGATTTTTTTTGTCCCGTCAAATTTCCCAGTTAGTAGGCGGATATGAGAAGTCACATGGTCTCTCTTTCCCTTTTTCCCACACAAACACACCCACACCAAAGACAGTACAGTATGCCCACACACAACACTCGGACGTTCTCGCATCGTGCACACACAGCTGTTTAGATATTCACTAGCTGCAATGCCATAGGGCGCGCACATACGGACTAACTTTTTACACCGTTGCAGTCAGAATGCATCGAAATCTGGAATACATTTGACACTTTTCCCTCTCGATCTTTGAATTCTGTCCAGGACAGTGTGAGTCTTCTGCCGTTAGATAGCCTACGAAGATACGGCCACTGCCAAAAAGGTTTGATGTTTCAAATAGTTACTGTAAACTATGTTGCCTGTTTCCTGTGGACTGGTTATGTGCAAAGTGTTGTAGCATTCTGCGTGTTGATAATACTAATGGAAGGTGAAAGTCACTAGTCGATTATAAATTCAATGATAGCATGCATTTTAAACTTTTTGTCGTAATGCTCTCCTCAATGGAGTAGCCTTTTTCGCGTTTGCTGAGTATACTCGACTACGTCCATAATATACATCAACTCTATTTCCATTGAGTTGAGTATCTTTGTTAAACTTTTGATTGATCTCATGCATGCAATTTTCTCTATTAGTCTGCTCTTCCATCACATCACATTGTTGGATGTGATTTTAAAGCGTTAACTCTATTGAGTGCCTCTCTGTATGCTGCTTGCCAGTACGCATTAGCAGAACATGGTATTTTTTTGTCTCTTTGGCTTTTCATTGCAGTAAAAGTACATTGAATAGCCCACGTTTGACACTGTAAAATTAGTAAAATATTTGTTGCTATAATTTCTTTGTCCGGCCTTCATCACATGTAGACCAATTTCTAGTGTTAATAAGAACCTGCTGACGACCCTGACTTTGAACAGGCGTAGTAGAGCAAAAATAAAAGTATGTTGCCCACCACCCCCATAGGTGTTACTTTAACACCCGAGGTGCTAGCTGCCCTCCAAAACTAGTTGATTTACATTAGGTGGTAACACAAAGCCCCCCTATGATGTTCTATTGACATGCTTTACGGCTGTTGGCATGACAGTAGACACAGGTGGTTGTGGTTTCCATCCCCCACTCCACAGATTACAGTTGACGCAGGGGACTCTCTGTCTGCCTGCAGAGATCGTGGTGGTTAGAGATTATGTGGCAAACATTTTCTTTCTCTGTGTGTGTGTGTGCAACATGTTGCAAGCCTCCTATTAGATTACCTCAGCAATAAAATGAACTGATTTAGTATGAATCAAGTTTCCAGTGAAATAAAAATCTAATTTCCAACATCTTGCCCTACTTGTTTACATTTTAGTCATTTAGCAGACGCTTTTATCCAGAGCGATTTACAGTTAGTGAGTGCATACATTTTTCATACTGGCCCCCGTGGGAAACGAACCCACAACCCTTGCGTTGCAAGCGCCATGCTCTACCAACTGAGCTACAGGAGGGCCAGAGCCTCTAGCTCTGGTGAGAAACTGAAGTTTTGGTCTGTCCCCAACAGATTCCCAGAGCCAGCTGTCCTGCAGTGTAGCAGGTGAGGACCAGAGAGAGTGAGGCGATCCTGAAGATTTGGACAGTATGAGTTTGGTGGAGATCAGACAGGCTGTTGGGTCCATGACCCTGTCCCTATCCAGCACAGACTCCAAGGAGAGGTACTTTGACCGGGTGGATGAGAGCGACCCTGAGTACCTCCGCAGCAGGAACATGTCACCTGAAATACGGCAGGACTTCAACATGATGGAGCAGAAGAAGAGGGTCACTCAGATTCTACAGAGTCCAGTATGTCACTTGTTCTATATGTCTATGTTGATGTGTGTTCACAGTAATGTCACTTTCATTATCTGGTTGTAGACCATCAAATGGCCTGAAAAGTTTTGCTCTTCGAGATCCAGGCCTATGTCATTGGCTCTTGTAGAGACTCTATACCATTGATGTTTTCATTCTGATGGCAAAACATTTAATCAACCGGCACAATGTTTGTACAGTGTTAATCTTTGTTGCAATGCAGTAAAATGTGCTACTGTCAGAGGAAGCAATATTAAATATTAACCAGTCCAAAAATACATTTAAGCTTTATAATACATTCCCCGACCAAGTTCACAGCTTAGCATTATTAAAGGTCCAATGCAGCCGTTTTTATTTAAATATCAAATCATTTCTGGGTAACAGTTAAGTACCTTACCGTGATTGTTTTCAATTAAAATGGTCAGAAAGCAACAAAAAATTGCTTCTTAGCAAAGAGCTATTTTCTCAAGCAAGAATTTTGCTAGGACTGTCGGGGAGTGGTCTGAGTGGGGAGGAGAAGAATGAAAACTAGCTGTTATTGGCAGAGAGGTTTGGAACCATAGAAATAAAATGAAAATAATGGGCTTAGAACCTCTAACCCTGGCATTTTGTGGGGGAAACAACCTGTGGTTACCTAGGTTACCCCATTGGCTCACAGCAAAAAACTTGACCTGCTTGTGTTAGTCAATTACAAAACTACATTTAAGAAAAGTACAACATGTCCAAAGATTACTTTTCAACATTGCCTGCTCTCGAGCGTTCTCACTACTTAGAATAACGTAATATTGTAGGGCTTCCTTCATGGCGGTGCTAGCAGCCATGTGAGTGCTAGCTAGCTAGCCAACACAAACAAACTGACTATACATCTACAAGTGAGTGGAGTTACAAACAGACTATACTAAACAAGTTAAATGTCTTACCTGTGAGGAAATGTTTTCCACACACATAGCTACGTGTAGCCTACTTGGACACCGGGTCCTCACATTTTCCACTCTTCCATGCCGAATAGCCCTGAAGCCACTGGGCTCTTCTCGCAGGCTCCATTTCCCTACATGAGAGCATTGCGAACCTTAGATCAGGATTTTTTACCTGGTTACATGTACATTGAACAAGACAGCAGTTTTTCGGCATGTTTTGTTATTTCTGTATAACAAAAAATCTACGACGAAGTTGTCTCTTTTACAATGGGGGTCAATAGGGTTTTTGGGGGGTTTTCCCCAATTTGTGGTCGTGGTCGATGGGGAATTAGTAATTATCACGTGAATATCAACTGAGTATGGCTGCCTGGTATTGTGATGCAATAAATTCCATGGTAATGTGGACTTTTCATTCAAACTGATGTGGCTCATGTAATGGAATGTATTTTTTGTAATGTCAGTTGAGCTGATTCAACAAATCACAGAACAGATTTATGGGTTCAGTTCCTGCTTTGCTCCAATGGGTACACTTGCAATGGCCGCCAGTCCACCCATTATACCATCAATGACTTGAATGGGGACGCCCGTTCTATTCAATCTATTTCTATGTTTCTTATTGGGCTACTAATTTACAACCTGGTGATGTCACCAGGCAGGCCAAAACGCCATCCCACCAAAACAGGCTGAAATTTCAGGTCGGTCTTTTTAAACAGCTCTTACACTAAAAGGGCATTATCCTCCTTTTCACAATTTCACAGTATTATTTCAACGTCATAGTGTGGAAATATATATATATATATATATATATATATATATATAAAACACAGGACAATCACATTTCTGACTGCACTGGGCCTTTAATTAAAAAAATGGAGAGACAACAACATGTAGGCATGAACAGAAAAGGTATTGGCATCCACTGTATGTATGCCTATTTGATTCAAACCCTTGAGTATAAGCAGAAAATGTTGCCTACATGCGCCCATGTTAAATGCATCATATATGCCATTGTGAATCAGAGGGACAGATTATCACGCAGTAAAATGTGGTTAGAGATGCTGCTAGGAGCTGCAACAAACACATGCCCATAAAAAATGAGATGAGCCCACGCTCATCTGTGATTGCATAACAGACCCCAACAAGTGGAACTTAGCTCATCACCATGGGAACCGCTTTGAGATGGTGCGGAATGTTGGCTTTCCACCAAAGAGGCTTGCAGAATAGTCGTATTTTTTGGGGAAGGATACCCAAGATTCACAACGACACTCTGTGAGCATAAATTAATAGGCTGGCTTAATGGGAGGGCTACCTCCCAGTCACCACTATTCACATGGACATAAAGAGGGGTTTAGAAACCTCTAATGTGATTTGTGTAAACTTGTAATAAGGAGGGCCTCGTTAGGCCTGAAAGTACACTGTGCACCCTGTCCTAATGTGAACGGCTGAATAGACATGGAATTGGGTCAAGGTGAAAAGTATTGCATAAATACACATAGAACATCCCAGCAGTTGAATTATTTATTTCTCTATGTAATTTAGCCTAACAGGGTAGAAATGTATGAGTGGGACATACAGACTAACAACATGAAACATGGACAAATAGATAAAACTGAGTGTTTATATTTATTTAGCTTTGCACCATAGTTTCCCACCAAATAAAGTATAACACTTCCTGAATGTGGGGTCATTGAAGGAAGGGGTTGTTTTCTTAAATGGAGAATAACAACAAACTAACAGGGTGGAAAGTGGTATCAGGGACACACAGAACATCTTAAATAAAATAATAATAAATACAATAATCATGAAAAAAAATTATTGATGAAAGAGACTTTAACTAGGACTATAAAATAATGAAGAAAGATTGTAATTATTTTATGGCTTTTTTCTTGTGGAAGTTGATAAATAACGCCTACATCCACTGACAAAAAGTGTTTAAAATGCATAAAATTCCCTTTCAGGATCCATATTTCGGTGTTTTTAAGATAAAGGACACCTGACCTTATTTAAAGCCGTTTGAAATCCACATTTTACACTAAATAAGAAATAATATTTTCTAGGGACAGAAAAGGCACCGCAAAGTAGGAATGACCCAGCTAACGTCCTTTCCTCATCTCATTTCCTTTGTGACCAGTGACCACTATCCTGGAGTGGTAAGCATTGATAGATGTAAGCCAGTGGTCATTGGGACTATTTTCACTGAGTCATGGGTTCCAAGGGGTGTCATTTTAATATGTCACTTTGGTTTCCAGGTGTTTAAGGATGAGCTGGAAGGACTGATCCAGGATCAGATGACGAAGGGCAATAATCCAACAGGGCTGCTGGCTCTGAGGCAGATAGCTGATCTGATCATGGCCAGTTCTATGGGAGGGACAGGCTCCTTCACATCTCCTCTCAGTAAGTAGCTGTGTGCGTGTGAGAGAGTGCATGTGGGTCTTTCAGTGATGCATCCTGATTCTCTCTGCATTGTCAACGTTTAGGGACACAGAATTCACAAAAACGTGTGACATTGAGAGCCCTTATGCAGCAAAACTCTGCTCAATTACTTGTTGACAACATTCCAAATTCCGAATGTTTCTAAGTCGGCCACATGTTCCCGACTTTATTATGATTGACAGCTGTCTAGAGCGTCAATTATGTTGCCCTCTGTCTTTCAATGGAGGTCACTATGAACCCCAGGGCTAAAAAGTTCAATTTTAAAAACACTAGGAATGTTTACTAAAACTGTTAGGAAATGTAAACATAACCGTGGTCTCCTATGGCTTTGAGGTAGTGGAGGGACTGTCTCTTTATAAATCAACAGTCCCTCCTAAAGTGCTTGTAAAAGGATAGGGTTCCGGTTTGTCCAATGCCCTTATACAGTAGGAAAAATATATACTACTCAGAGCTCTTATGAGAAGTTCTGAGAACAGCCGCTTTTATGATCCAAAAGTTAAGCAAGGGATGCTGAGATGAAGTGAGTTTATGAGAAATAAAATTTTTATAGCAATCATTTGAGCTAAATGTTGTTAGAGGAACTTGCAAGAGAGAGGCAGAACCCGTTAAGAGCTGCTCAAGTTGAACAAGTAAGCATAGATGTTGCTTGTAAGCTTAAACCAAAGAGAAAGCAAATTCCGTTGACCATGTCATAATGCAACTTGAACATGAAGAAAGTTATTGTTTCATGAACATTCATAAATGTTCTAACTCTGGAGTAGTATGAATGGTTTAGCTTGTTTAGACACACAAAGAAGGCTGTAATTTGTGGTGCTTGTCACGAAGGCTGTAGGGTGTTAGTGACTATGCTCTCGTCTCATCAGTTCACCATGAATGCATGTGTTTTCTCTCCAGGCCTAGGGATGGTCACCCCGGTCAATGACCTCTATGGGGTAGAGTCTCCATCCTTTACCAAAGGGGAGAAACAGTGTCGCTGTAAGCTAGCCAGTGTCTACAGACTGGTGGACCTCTTCAGCTGGGCCCATTTCACCAGCTCATACATTACTGTGAGTATTACCCTCATAAAAAAACCTTATTAGACCTCTCTACTTACATGTAAAAGCAACTTAATGTAGCATTATAAGCACAGTATGAATTGTGATTACTGTAGGCATGTCAAAACGACATATGGAGTTCTCAGTCACCCAATACGCATTCTGTTTTTGCAATTTTCAACCATTGTTGAAATGCAAATAAATAGTGTAGACATTTCTATCTTGAGAATAGTCTACATCCTGTACCGGTTTACTGTATGTAGCTGGTACAATGTTGCTCTTGGCAATGCCTTTTGACACTTTGCTTTTTTACATTTTCCTTTTCCTTGTACAGGTCCGGGTTAGCAAAGAACAAGACCATGTTCTTATCATCCCACAAGGACTCTCTTTCACTGAAGTGACAGCTGGCAATCTGGTAGGTATAATGGTGCATGCATTTTCATATTCCAGATTGCTTAGAACTACCATAGAAAATAACAGTTTGTGCTTTTCTCCAGTGGGTGAACAACACTATCATTATCAACAGTATCAAAACAACCCCATTGAGATGTGTGAATCATGCAGAATATGTGTTCAGACTATTGACGTGGCCACATAATCAATAACCAGCCACCCAGACAGCCTCTGGGTGTGCTGAGACACGCCTTACTCTATTTCACCAAGGGGTCAAGGAGAAATGACAATTGTGTTGATTGGATGTTTTTCAGCTTGTTGTCAGCATGTAGTTGCCTATAGTTACAGTAGTGATGGAGCGCTAAGTCCCAATAGAATGATAACTAGATTACTTGTAATCCTCTTGCAATATCATCATAATAACAACTGAATACAGTTAAACTAATAATTCAAATAAGAAAACCAACAGTGGAATAATTAATCTATTTTAATAGTGCAGCAATATTGTAGCACAGTGAGTTGGAACAATGCCCAATACAGTTGTGCGACTTTGCATCCGACTCAGTATCTGGCTGCCATGGTAGCCCTACTGATATTGTGTCCTGGTCTGTTTCCAGGTGAAAGTGAACATGATTGGTGACGTTGTCGACCAGGGATCCACCTACCTGGAGGTGGATCACTTTGGCTTCAGCCCTCACTCTGCTATCTATTCCATGCGCCCTGATATCAGGTGTATCATACACATCCACACCTCTGCCACTGCTGCTGTGAGTACACTCTCAACTAAAGCTCAATGAGTGGCCATGTCACCTGGCCATGATACTCAATGACTGAATTAAGCAATAAGGCCCGAGGGGGTGTGGTATATGGCCAATATACCACGGCTAAGGGCTGTTCTTAAGCACGACGCAACGCGGAGTGCCTGGACACAGCCTTTAGCCGTGGTATATTGGCCATATATCACAAACCCTGAGGTGCCTTATTGCTATTATAAACTGGTTACCAACATAATTAGAGCAGTAAAAATAAATAGTTTGTCATACCCATGGTATACGGTCTGATATACCACGGCTGTCAGACTATCAGCATTCAGGGCTCGAACAACCCAGTTTATTATTAAGAGTAACCTCTGGAAGTGTATTTACCTCATCTTGGTTTCATTATTGTTTTTACAGTAAGTACACCTAATGTACTGGTACTGTTGCCTTTTGCGGTCGTCTCTTATAGTTCATGCTATTTGTCTGATGTTTTACTAGCCGAAAATAACATAAAAGGTGCCTTTAGGTAGTTGTTGTTGACACAGCATAGTCACGGTTGCTTTTATCCTGAATTCACAGGTGTCCTCGATGAAATGTGGCATCCTGCCCATTTCCCAAGAGGCTCTGGTTCTGGGCGATGTTGCCTATTTCAGTTACCAAGGCTTTTTGGATGATCAAGACGAGAAGGTGGAGTTCCAGAAAGCCCTAGGGCCCTCTGCCAAGGTGACAATGGGTTTCCTTAACAACACCAACAGGCTCACTGTAGTGTGTGCCATACATAGAAATAGAACACACAGAATTGCATCACCGTCGAGATTAGACTGCCTGCCATTTAATCAAACTGTTTTGTTGCTGTAGTAATTGGTGTTTTTACACAGGTATAAGAGCATTTGAAATGTAATGTGTTACCGGAAGTTGTTTTCACTAGCAATTTTTTTTTGCCTTTCATGTATTTGTATTTACTTATTAATTTCACCTTTTTAACTTGTTGTTATCCCACGATTCATCTTTTTGCAGGTGCTTGTTCTGAGGAACCATGGCCTGGTTGCTCTGGGGGAGACTATAGAGGAAGCTTTCCACTACATTTACCACTCACAGCAGGCTTGTGAAATCCAGGTAACACTTTAATTCATCAGCCACACTTGTTCTACCACATCATTGTATAGGTCATGGAATTGTTAGATCACTGCTATTTCTGTGTTCTTACCAGGTAAATAGGATGTGGGCGAGGGCGTCTTGCAATCCAAGATACTGTATATGTGTGTTATTTTGCTTCACTTAACCTGTGTGGTCTAAACACATCAGTATGTATTAAATTAATAACTACTTGTACACTATATGACCAAAAGTATGTGGACACATGCTCGTCGAACATCTCATTCCAAAATCATGGGCATTAATATGGAGTTGGTCCCCCCTTTGCTGTTATAACAGCCTCCACTCTTCTGGGAAGGCTTTCCACTAGATGTTGGAACATTGCTGCGGGGACTTACATTTAAATTTTATGTCATTTAGCAGACGCTCTTATCCACTTGCTTCCATTCAGCCACAAGAGCATTAGTGAGATCGGGCACTGATGTTGGGTGATTAGGCCTGGCTCGCAGTCGGCCTTCCAATTCATCCCCAAGGTGTTTGATGGGGTTGAGGTCAGGGCTCTGTGCAGGCCAGTCAAGTTCTTCCACACAGATCTCGACAAACCATTTCTGTATGGACCTCACTTTGTGCACGGGGGCATTGTCATGCTGAAACAGGAAAGGGCCTTCTCCAAACTGTGCCACAAAGTTGGAAGCACAGAATCATCTAGAATGTCATTGTATGCTGTAGCGTTAAGATCTCCCTTCACTGGAACTAAGGGGCCTAGGCCGAACCATGAAAAACAGCCCAAGACCATTATTCCTCCTCCACCAAACTTGACTGTTGGCACTATGCATTCGGGCAGGTCGCGTTCTCCTGGTATCCGCCAAACCCAGATTTGTCCGTCGGACTGCTAGATGGTAAAGTGTGACTCATCCAGAGTCCAATGCCGGCAAGCTTTACACCACTCCAGCCGACGCTTGGCATTGCGCATGGTGATCTTAGGCTTGTGTGTGGCTGCTCAGTCATGGAAACCCATTTCATGAAGCTCTCGACAAACAGTTCTTGTGCTGACGTTGCTTCCAGAGGCAGTTTGCAACCAAGGACAGACCATTTTTACGCGCTTCAGCACTTGACGGTCCAGTTCTGCGAGCTTGTGTGGCCTACTACTTCGCGGCTGAGCCATTGTTCCTCCTAGATGTTTCCACTTCACAATAACAGCATTTACAGTTGACGGGGGCAGCTCGAGCAGGGCAGATATTTGACGAACTGACTTGTTGGAAAGGTGGCTTCCTATGACGGTGCCACGTTGAAAGTCACTGAGCTCTTCAGTAAGGCCATTCTACTGTCAATGTTTGTCTATGGAGATTGCATGGCTGTGTGCTCAATTTTATACACCTGTCCGCAACGGGTGTGGCTAAAATAGCTGAATCCACTAATTTGAAGGGGTGTCCACATACTTTTGTATATATAGTGTATATATAAATCCCAGGTTTATACTTGTAGAATGGTTTCCCCCCTGGTTTTGGACAGGAATCAAACTTGGTGTTGGTTGTTTTCCAATTGAATGGTGTAACATTCTCTGCGTGAGAGAAAAATGAGTGATAAGTCAAACATCTGTTAAAACAAAGCTAAATCAAGTACTCTATGTGTGATTTGAAACCACTGTTCTCAAAGAGCACCAGGTGGAGTTTAGTGTTCTAGGACTTGGTTGAGTCTGATAGTAGCTCATAGCTCTATGTGGAGCAGACAGATAGTATTCTCTTATCATCATATGTGTCTGGGATAGTGTTGGTTTTTCCATTGAGCAGGTCATTCCATGTGTGGTCAGTCTGGGATTCCTGTGTTTGCTTCACTAGACTCTACTGATTCCTTGTGACACACATTTTTACCTCATATTTTCAATATAATAGCTACAGATGTCGGATCTTAATTTGATTACTCTGTTGCAGGATAACTTTCCTGCATTGCAGGAAATGTAAAACTTGGAGTGTAGTTGAGGTTTAAAAAGGCTTCTGAAGTTTGTAATTTCCACTTTGAAATTTGAATTGATTTACCCATACAAAAAAATTTATCAGCCCCTACAAAGATGTCCATAAATTATAATCCACATAATAATTCACATTTCCTGTTGTTGCAGGATAACTTTTCCTGCTGTAGCAAACTGACTCAAATTAAGATCCTACATCTGTAGTTTTAGACTTTACTCATTATTCGCCAGACCTGGTCTTTTCACATGGTCAGAACAAACTCCTGGTCTTAAGTATGATATGTGTTTTTGATGTGGTCTTTCAGGTCAGTGCTCTGCAGTGCTCTGCAGGAGTGGAGAACCTGGTGCTCCTGGATAGGGAGAGGTTCAAGCCCCTGACCCACGGAGTGGCTGCTGCTGGGGTCACCGTGGACAGCGAGGTCAAGTGGAAAGTGGGCGAGGCAGAGTTCGAGTCACTCATGAGGATGCTGGACAACCTGGTAAGTGACCTCACTATTTTATCTGACTTTTCCCACAATGCTTTGCGTTTCCTCTCCCATGCACATCCTGAGGATGTGTGGGAATACATTGACATCATAATCCCAACCAGAAAGTTGTGTTTTTAACTCAAACATGGGAGATCATGGATGCCAGCTGTAGCTCCTTGAACTAATGCACGATTATTGTCCCAGTATAACCTATTAAAGAGTGCCACGCAGTTAGGTGTTTATCAAAGATGAGCATCTAATCTTAGCCTTTGGCTAGCTGACTGTTTGTTAATGCTGGGTCTGTTTAGCATCCCCTGTAGATAACGGTGTGATGTTCAGAGGGCTTCTCCCCTTTAAACACTACTATCTCAACAACACTACTAATGATAAGGGACAGACACATTCTCTGGGCACAGCAGACCCTACTCCGAGAAAGCCTCTATTGAAACTACTAATGACATGCCACTTCCTGGGTAGGCTACAGCTGTGTTAGCTTGTACAGCTCTGTGTCATCATAGCCCGCCTCCCCATCATGGATTCCAGATGGCAGGCCATGCTGTGTGGAGTTAAGAGCACAGACCACACAATCCTTCAGAGTCGATTGACTGGAAAACTCAACACACTCCCTGGGTTCCACTCAACATGGTTGAGTTTGGGGTTTGCGGTCCCCCACCCCCCTTATCTTTGATGTGTTCCACACAACAGTTCCCCTGCCAACTGCACTGTGTGGCCAGACTTTATCTATTCCCTTTGAAATCAGGAACTTTTGAAAGCGTTGTTTATATGTATTGTACAAAGTGTTCCAACAATGTACAAATGTCTTCACTGGAGAGGCTGAACATTGGGTGTTCTAGGAACCACTTAAACCACATGCTTTAGTCACTGATATGGAGTGTAATGTTTCACATGGTTAAAGATGGAAATAATCTTACAAACTTTGTGATGGAAAACTGCAAACGTCTGAAAACGTGTCTTTGGGAGATTGTTTTTATATGCTGCCAAGGTGCAATTCTGAGATTGTTTTTATATGTTGCTAAAGTGCAATTCAATTAACAGAGAACAAACACCTTGTGGTACTGAGCATAATTATGTTGCACAAACCTTTTCATTGAAAATCTAATTTCCTAATTAACATGCATGTACAGTGAGGGAAACAAGTATTTGATCCCCTGCTGATTTTGTACGTTTGCCCACTGACAAAGAAATGATCAGTCTATCATTTTAATGGTAGGTTTATTTGAACAGTGAGAGACAGAATAACAACAAAAAAATCCAGAAAAACGATGTCAAAAATGTTATAAATTGATTTGCATTTTAATGAGGGAAATAAGTATTTGACCCCCTCTCAATCAGAAAGATTTCTGGCTACCAGGTGTCTTTTATACAGGTAACGAGCTGAGATTAGGAGCACACTCTTAAAGGGAGTGCTCATAATCTCAGTTTGTTACCTGTATAAAAGACACCTGTCCACAGAAGCAATCAATCAATCAGATTCCAAACTCTCAACCATGGCCAAGACCAAAGAGCTCTCCAAGGATGTCAGGGACAAGATTGTAGACCTACACAAGGCTGGAATAGGCTACAAGACCATCGCAAAGCAGCTTGGTGAGAAGGTGACAACAGTTGGTGCGATTATTCGCAAATGGAAGAAACACAAAAGAACTGTCAATCTCCCTCGGCCTGTGGCTCCATGCAAGATCTCACCTCGTGGAGTTGCAATGATCATGAGAACGGTGAGGAATCAGCCCAGAACTACACGGGATGATTTTGTCAATGATCTCAAGGCAGCTGGGACCATAGTCACCAAGAAAACAATTGGTAACACACTACGCCGTGAAGGACTGAAATCCTGCAGCGCCCGCAAGGTCCCCCTGCTCAAGAAAGCACGTATACATGCCCATCTGAAGTTTGCCATTGAACATCTGAATGATTCAGATGAGAACTGGGTGAAAGTGTTGTGGTCAGATGAGACCAAAATGGAGCTCTTTGGCATCAACTCAACTCGCCGTGTTTGGAGAAGGAGTAATGCTGCCTATGATCCCAAGAACACCATCCCCACCGTCAAACATGGAGGTGGAAATATTATGCTTTGGGTGTGTTTTTCTGCTAAGGGGACAGGACAACTTCACCGCATCAAAGGGACGATGGATGGGGCCATGTACAGTCAAATCTTGGGTGACAACCTCCTTCCCTCAACCAGGGCATTGAAAATGGGTCGTGGATGGGTATTCCAGCATGACAATGACCCAAAACACACGGCCAAGGCAACAAAGGAGTGGCTCAAGAAGAAGCACATTAAGGTCCTGGAGTGGCCTAGCCAGTCTCCAGACCTTAATCCCATAGAAAATCTTTGGAGGGAGCTGAAGGTTCGAGTTGCCAAACGTCAGCCTCGAAACCTTAATGACTTGGAGAAGATCTGCAAAGACGAGTGGAACAAAATCCCTCCTGAGATGTGTGCAAACCTGGTGGCCAACTACAAGAAACGTCTGACCTCTGTGATTGCCAACAAGGGTTTTGCCACCAAGTACTAAGTCATGTTTTGCAGAGGGGTCAAATACTTATTTCCCTCATTAAAATGCAAATCAATTTATAACATTTTTGACATGCGTTTTTCTGGATTTTTTGTTGTTGTTATTCTGTCTCTCACTGTTCAAATAAACCTACCATTAAAATTATAGACTGATTATTTCTTTGTCAGTGGGCAAACGTAAAAAATCAGCAGGGGATCAAATACTTTTTTCCCTCACTGTATAAAGGCTTTACAGTTGATGGATAACAGGCGGCAGAGTTTTCATGGAGTCCATTTTGACAGGTGGACTGAAACAATGTCTCTGTGTTGCTAGGGTTACCGGACAGGCTACACGTACCACCACCCCATAGTGAGGGAAAAGATCCGGACCAAAAACGATGTGGAGATTCCTGCCACGGTCTACACTGTCCCGTTGGCGGACAGTGATCTGGGTCAGAGAAAACCCTTTAACGTCCTGGTACAGAAACAGCAGAGGGAGAGGACCCGCTGGCTCAACTCTCCCAACAGTTACCTGAAGGTCAATGTGCCTGAACGTTCACCCAGCGGAGAGTGCAGCCCCAGGACCAAGACCATGGTGAGCTGCTATAAACCAGTGTACTTCAATCTACCTTGTGTACCAGTAGACATGCAGTAGTACCTCTATTACTTCAACCTGACAATCTTTGTTCCTATAGCAGAGCTAAAATATTTGCTCAAACATCAGGCTTTTATGTAGGTTGCCAGAGCAGTTTTAAATTTGTTGGTGAGCCTGCCCTCTTGTGGAATCTTGTGTAACTGTATGTATGAAACACCAATATTTCTCTACATAAAATCTAGCATACCCAATGCACTTATCAAATGTGTTAATGAGCTCCAGTCTGAAATGTCTTTATTAAACCAGTATCTTTCCTTTTAGTGGATGAAATCTGAAGAGACCAGCAATGGCACTGGCACCCCCATAAAGATCGAGGACCCCAACCAGTTTGTTCCCCTTAACACAAACCCCACTGATGTTCTGGAGAAGAGGAACCGGGTGAGCTAGAACATTGTGTTCTCTAATCATGTTCCTGATTGAAAGTTCAGACATCCTGACCATTTGCTGCACACATTGTAAAGGAGGTACTATTGAACTCTCCTCCCAAGCAAATTAGTATTGATTGCAGTGACCTATAGGGTGCAACCTGTCTCCCTCTGGCATGACAGCTGGGTGGACCAGAGAATCAATCAGTCATAAAGCCTTTCTATTCATTTTAATGGAGACCTTTGTGGTGTCACTGAATCATTTCAGAACAAAAATAGGCTAGCTTTGTACTCCCCTTAGTCTAGGGACTAATTTGGGTGTAGTAGATAGTGCTAATTGCCCAGAGAGTTATGCCAAGGTCTTGAAAACAGAAGTTAGAATAATTTGTAATGGAAATCTGTTTATTAGATAAGGCAACAGAACACTGTTGATCACATGACTCCAGGACCAAAGTCCCATCTTCTAGCTGGCATCGTTGTGGACACCATACCAGGACCAGTAAGTACTTGGATCAACTTCACACCACACAACCCTAACATTATATAGGTCGTTCCACGGAATTAGTGCCTTTTGCGTCCCTTTGATATTTTAAGTAGAAATTGTGCACCAATAAAATAAATGTAAAAGCCTGTTATATTAAATTAAGTGCCCTCTAATATAGACCACATGGAGAATTCAATAAATCAGATTTATGTTATGACAAAAGACTTGCTAAAGTGCCAAAATTCAGCATTTTGACATGTCCATTTTGATATGTCCGTCAACCCTGTGTCACCTCTAGGAAGATTTTAACCCCGTAATTTCTCCCAAGTTTTCACCATCATTGTAAAGCCCTAGTTATGTTGTTGCTTTGACAAGGTCATTTCTGAAGATTATTATTTATTTCATGTGATCAGTGATTCATTTACATCTGTCCCTCATTATAAAGTCAACCCTGTTACGTGATCAAAATTCTCTTTTTAATATGGTGAAACTATTCCTTTTTTAAATATTTTTTTTCAAAAGAAACATTGAACATCAAATAGTCAATTCATAGTGTAAAAGCAGATGAGCTGGTTCTACTCTTTTTTGTGGTGGAAAACTGAGTGGGTCAAGCATAACACGTCAACCTTGTCATCCATAGATAGACAGGCTAGAAATGTTTTTTTGTTGTGAAGCTTGCATTCAATTGCCCCTCCCTGTTGGTTTTATGGCTGATTTAAGATGAAATCGTAAACCCTGTTACATTATTTGGCACTTACTACAGTCGTGGTCAAAACTTTTGAGAATGGCACAAGTTATTGGTCTTCACAAAGTTTGCTGTTTCAGTGTTTTTAGATATTTTTGTCAGATGTTACTATGGTATACTGAAGTATAATTACAAGCATTCCATAAGTGTCAAAGGCTTTTATTGACAATTACATTAAGTTTATGCAAAGAGTCAATATTTGCAGTGTTGACCCTTCTTTTTCAAGACCTCTGTAATCTGCCCTGGCATGCTGTCAATTAACTTCTGGGCCACATCCTGACTGATGGCAGCCCATTCTTGCATAATCAATGCTTGGAATTTGTCAGAAATTGTGGGGTTTTGTTTGTCCATCCGCCCCTTGAGGATTGACCACAAGTTCTCAATGGGATTAAGGTCTGGGGAGTTTCCTGGCCATGGACCCAAAATGTCGATGTTTTGTTCCCCGAGCCACTTAGTTATCACTTTTGCCTTATGGCAAGGTGCTCCATCATGCTGGAAAAGGCATTGTTCATCGCCAAACTGTTCTTGGATGGTTGGGAGAAGTTGCTCTCGGAGGATGTGTTGGTACCATTCTTTATTCATGGCTGTGTTCTTAGGCAAAATTGTGAGTGAGCCCACTCCCTTGGCTGAGAAGCAACCCCACACATGAATGGTCTCAGGATGCTTTACTGTTGGCATGACACAGGACTGATGGTAGCGCTCACCTTGTCTTCTCCGGACAAGGTGTTTTCCGGATTACCCCAAACAATCGGAAACGGGATTCATCAGAGAAAATGACTTTACCCCAGTCCTCAGCAGTCCAATCCCTGTACCTTTTGCAGAATATCAGTCTGTCCCTGATGTTTTTCCTGGAGAGAAGTGGCTTCCTCGTTGTCCTTCTTGACACCAGGCCATCCTCCAAAAGTCTTCGCCTCACTGTGCGTGCAGATGCACTCACACCTGCCTGCTGCCATTCCTGAGCAAGCTCTGCACTGGTGGTGCCCCAATACCGCAGCTGAATCAACTTTAGGAGACGGTCCTGGCGCTTGCTGGACGTTCTTGGGCACCCTGAAGCCTTCTTCACAACAATTTAACCTCTCTCCTTGACGTTCTTGATGCAATCTTACTAGCAGCAATTTCCTTGCCTGTGAAGCCCTTTTTGTGCAAAGCAATGATGACGGCACGTGTTTCCTTGCAGGTACAGTGGGGGGAAAAAGTATTTAGTCAGCCACCAATTGTGCAAGTTCTCCCACTTAAGAAGATGAGAGAGGCCTGTAATTTTCATCATAGGTACACGTCAACTATGACAGACAAATTGAGAAAAGAAAATCCAGAAAATCACATTGTAGGATTTTTTATGAATTTATTTGCAAATTATGGTGGAAAATAAGTATTTGGTCACCTACAAACAAGCAAGATATCTGGCTCTCACAGACCTGTAACTTCTTCTTTAAGAGGCTCCTCTGTCCTCCACTCGTTACCTGTATTAATGGCACCTGTTTGAACTTGTCATCAGTATAAAAGACACCTGTCCACAACCTCAAACAGTCACACTCCAAACTCCACTATGGCCAAGACCAAAGAGCTGTCAAAGGACACCAGAAACAAAATTGTAGACCTGCACCAGGCTGGGAAGACTGAATCTGCAATAGGTAAGCAGCTTGGTTTGAAGAAATCAACTGTGGGAGCAATTATTAGGAAATGGAAGACATACAAGACCACTGATAATCTCCCTCGATCTGGGGCTCCACGCAAGATCTCACCCCGTGGGGTCAAAATGATCACAAGAACGGTGAGCAAAAATCCCAGAACCACACGGGGGGACCTAGTGAATGACCTGCAGAGAGCTGGGACCAAAGTAACAAAGCCTACCATCAGTAACACACTACGCCGCCAGGGACTCAAATCCTGCAGTGCCAGACGTGTCCCCCTGCTTAAGCCAGTACATGTCCAGGCGTGTCTGAAGTTTGCTAGAGTGCATTTGGATTATCCAGAAGAGGATTGGGAGAATGTCATATGGTCAGATGAAACCAAAATATAACTCTTTGGTAAAAACTCAACTCGTCGTGTTTGGAGGACAAAGAATGCTGAGTTGCATCCAAAGAACACCATACCTACTGTGAAGCATGGGGGTGGAAACATCATGCTTTGGGGCTGTTTTTCTGCAAAGGGACCAGGACGACTGATCCGTGTAAAGGAAAGAATGAATGGGGCCATGTATCGTGAGATTTTGAGTGAAAACCTCCTTCCATCAGCAAGGGCATTGAAGATGAAACGTGGCTGGGTCTTTCAGCATGACAATGATCCCAAACACACCACCTGGGCAACGAAGGAGTGGCTTCGTAAGAAGCATTTCAAGGTCCTGGAGTGGCCTAGCCAGTCTCCAGATCTCAACCCCATAGAAAATCTTTGGAGGGAGTTGAAAGTCCGTGTTGCCCAGCGACAGCCCCAAAACATCACTGCTCTAGAGGAGATCTGCATGGAGGAATGGGCCAAAATACCAGCAACAGTGTGTGAAAACCTTGTGAAGACTTACAGAAAACGTTTGACCTGTGTCATTGCCAACAAAGTGTATATAACAAAGTATTGAGAAACTTTTCTTATTGACCAAATACTTATTTTCCACCATAATTTGCAAATAAATTCATTACAAATCCTACAATCTGATTTTCTGGATTTTCTTTTCTCATTTTGTCTGTCATAGTTGACGTGTACCTATGATGAAAATTACAGGCCTCTCTCATCTTTTTAAGTGGGAGAACTTGCACAATTGGTGGCTGACTAAATACTTTTTTCCCCCACTGTAGCCATGGTTAACAGAGGAAGAACAATGATTTCAAGCACCACCCTCCTTTTAAAACTTCCAGTCTGTTATTCTAACTCAATCAGCATGACAGAGTGATCTCCAGCCTTGTCCTCGTCAACACTCTCTCATGTGTTAACGAGAGAATCACTGACATGATGTCAGCTGGTCCTTTTGTGGCAGGGCTGAAATGCAGTGGAAATGTTTTTGGGGGACTAAGTTCATTTTCATGGCAAAGAGGGACTTTGCAATTAATTGCAATTCATCTGATCACTCTTCATAACATTCTGGAGTATATTCAAATTGCCATCATAAAAACTGAGGCAGCAGACTTTGTGAAAATTAATATTTGTGTCATTCTCAAAACTTTTGACCACGACTGTATAGTCCGTTTTTATATAACCTGTTCAGATGGGAAAACTTGTTTTTTATAAAGTTGAACATGTGCTCTTTATGACATAATGTTAAAATTAGGTTAAATCTATTTTTTTACACTTTTCACCTAATTGGTGGAACGGCCCTAATGGTGGAGAGTTCCAGGATTGTCATGATCAGAAGACTAATATGGGACTTCATTGGTCCATCCTTATATTATGTGTTCAGTGAAGTAGTTGGGTTGGAGCTCACTGGTATGTATGGGCCTTACCAATGGTTGTAGGTTTAACTGCATTTGTGGAGCTCATTGGTCACTAAGCAGTATGTCTAGCAGTTAAAAGTTTAACCCCATTGTTATGTACCTCTCTCCCCTCAGGCCTTTATCATTGAGGATGAGGAGCTGACACGCTCTCTTCCTCCCAACCCCTTCAGTGAGCTGACAGAGAAGGTTCTAGAAGAGTATAAGAGTGTTTTGGAGCGAAGGCAGCTGGGCCAGGATGGTATGATTCTCCCCTATCTCATTACAAATATCAACACTGTCATGATGAAGATAATTTAATTCCCACCTCTGTTATCTACAGTAGTGCTGCTGTATTTGTGTTGCTGAATCTGTGATGACTAGGGCCCAAAGTTCTACCTGGCCAGGTCACATGGTCAGGATAAAACTCCAGGCCCTATTGATAACCCTTGAACTTTGAACTTGCAGATGCTGATGATGTCACAGACGCAGATGAGATGACAACTTTTGACGAGTCCACCATCTCACTGTCCCTGTCTCCACTCATGTCTCCAGTCAAAGGTATAGTCTATTTAATAAGAAAGGAGCAAGACCATTGTGTCCAATAAAGTTTCCATGAGAAGCTTAATTCCTAAATCAGGGCATTCCTTCTCTTAAACATTGAATTGGTTATAATCCATTGAGTTTTGGAAAGGGTGCACTACAGACAAACTTGTCATCTTCATACTTCCTGTAAAGGAGTATTGTTTTTTGAAGTGTATAAGTGCTTCATGCACCAACTCTTCCTCACTGACTTGGTTTCTTCCTGTTAACAGAGATCATATCCAATGGGAAAGACTATATGGAAGAACTGGAGGAGAAACTGAACATCAAGGTATCCAAGATCAGTGTCAGTGCCACAGAAACGGTTGAAATCTCCATAACAGAGAAATCAGGGGGAGACAAGACCCCTGAGAGCCAAACCAAGTCCCCCAAGAAGAAGAAAAAGTTTCGCACTCCCTCCTTCCTAAAAATGAATAAAAAGAAGGAGAAGGCTGAGGCCTAGAGGGAGAGACGCAGGAGAAAGACAGGTCAGCTTGTTTGGTATGAGATGAGATCATAGGATGAGATGCGTTCCTTAGAGAGGAAATGTATGAGTCACTAAGATCTTAATAGATCTCCAGCTTTTGGGAGGGAGCAACTGTGACAATAAGCCTGTTATTACAATCTTCTTATTACTCAATCACTTCCTCTGAGGGCTCGACACATGAATAGTAGGCATGGTGTTGAACATGTAGTGTATCAGCTTTATTGTTCTCAGTATCTACTATAGCCAATTCGCCATCGTGTAATCAAAACACATGATAATATATAGCTACAGAAACTCATTTTTTTAAATATGAAACACTGAAATACCACATTTAACCTGCTATGTATTTGTGGTCAGATACGTTTTCCAGTCGGCTCATCATTGAATGTACAGTAGCCCATAGTTGAAGGTAAGACATGTAAATGTCATGAGGCAGTGTTAAGTGAGTGTTGTATCCTGGTGCCTGGACGTATTGGAATGTATATGAGGTCAAGCCTTAAGAAGTGTGGTTGGTTTGTATCTGGACCTAGTCATAATAACGCTGTCTTAGTTTTGGTAGATTTTTATGAGTAGGATAAAGTATGGGTTGTAGTAGTGTTTATGATTATTCAGTATTCGGGTAACATTTTGATATACACTACAGTACATATTTGTGTTCTTAATAATCATTTTGTTATACATAATACTTTTAACAATGCAAGACAGAGAAGGCAATTTTAGTTAGGCATGTTTTGCAGAAAGTTTTATTTATGCCAGTGATATTATTTTAGTGGTTGCTGCTTCATTATTGTGACTAAATGGACTGAAAGTATGATGATTAGTAAAATCTCCAATCTCTATTAGCTCAATATTGCTGAATACGTTTTATCACATTCACAGATATTTAGGCATGGATATCATATGACTGAAAGCGAAATTACAAATGTAATGATATGAGATAGCTGGGCCTAGAGTGTATTCGAAAGTATTTAGACCCCTTGACTTTTTCCACATTTTGTTACATTACAGCCTTATTCTAAAATGGATAAAATACATATTGTTCCTCATCAATCTACACACAATACCCCATAATGACAAAGCAAAAACAGGTTTGTAGAAATTGTTGCAAATGTATAAAAAATACAAAACTGAAATATGACATTTACATAAGTATTCAGACTCTTTACTCAGTACTTTGTTTAAGCACCTTTGGCAGCGATTACAGCCTACAGACTTCTTGGGTATGACGCTACAAGCTTGGCACACCTGTATTTGGGGAGTTTCTCCCATTCTTCTCTGCAGATCCTCTCAAGCTCTGTCAGGTTGGATGGGGAGTGTCGCTGCACAACTATTTTCAGGTCTCTCCAGAGATGTTCAATCGGGTTCAAGTCCGGGCTCTGGCTGGGCCACTCAAGGACATTCAGAGACCTGTCCCGAAGCCACTCCTGTGTTGTCTTGGCTGTGTGCTTAGGGTCGTTGTCCTGTTGGAAGGTGAACCTTCGCCCCAGTCTGAGGTCCTGAGTGCTCTGGAGCAGGTTTTCATCAAGGATCCCTCTGTACTTTGCTCCGTTCATCTTTCCGTCGATCCTGACTAGTCTCCCAGTCTCTGCCACTGAAAAACATCCCCACAGCATGATGATGCCACCACCATGCTTCACTGTAGGGATGGTGCCAGGTTTCCTCCAGACGTGATGCTTGGCATTCAGGCCAAAGAGTTCAATCTTGGTTTCATCAGACCAGAGAATCTTGTTTCTCATGGTCTGAGAGTCCTTTAGGTGCCTTTTGGCAAACTCCAAGCTGGCTGTCATGTGCCTTTTACTGAGGAGTGGCTTCCGTCTGGCCACTCTGCTATAAAGGCCTGATTGGTGGAGTGCTGTAGAAATGGTTGTCCTTCTGGAAGGTTCTCCCATCTCCAAAGAGGAACTGGAGCTCTGTCAGAGTGACCATCGGGTTCTTGGTCACCTCCCTGACCAAGGCCCTTCTCCCCCGATTGCTCAGTTTGGCCGGGTGGCCAGCTCTTGGTGGTTCCAAACCTCTTCCATTTAAGAGTGATGCAGGCCACTGTGTTCTTGGGGACCTTCAATGCTGCAGCATTGTTTGGTACCCTTCCCCAGATCTGTGCCTCGACACAATCCTGTCTCGGAGCTTTACAGACAATTCCTTCGACCTCTTGGCTTGGTTTTTGCTCTGACATGCAGTGTCAGCTGTGGGACCTTATATATACAGGTGTGTGCCTTTCCAAGTCATGTCCAATCAATTGCATTTACCACAGGTGGACTCCAATCAAGACTCGAAACATCTCAAAGTTTTTCAATGGAAATAGGATGCACCTAAGCTCAATTTCGAGTCTCATAGCAAAGGGTCTGAATACTTATGTAAATAAGTTTTTTCTGTTTTTTATTTTAAATACATTTGCAAAAATTTCTAAAAACCTGTTTTTGCTTTGTCATTATTGGGGTATTGTGTGTAGATTAATTTGATCAATTTTAGAATAAGGCTGTAACGTAACAAAATGTGGAAAAAGTCAAGGGGTCTGAATACTTTCCGAATGCACTGTATATAAGGCTATGAAATGTTATATGAATGTTTTGTGTATGTGAAAGATTTGTTGAGACAGTATTTTGATAGATCATTTGAAGGTTGATTAGGCCATACAAATGTAATAAAATGTTTAACAGATGCCCCTCTTCACATTTCTCAAAAATTAAATAGAAATCTGACAAATTGAATAAAGAAATGAAACACTATAGCAAAAAACAATGTCCTGAAGATTCCAGTAAAGAGATACACAACTTCCTCTCGGATTATGGCTGAACTATGCCTCTTTTTGCCTCCCCAAGATGCTAAAATCTCTTGAATAGGTCGCCAGGTGTTAAACTAAGGTCACTATAGAATTTTAACAAGAGGGAGTCCACTTTTCAAAAACATTTAATTACATTTGTATGGCAGTATGTTATAAAAAGCTGTTCTCTGGACCCAAGTTAAACCTAAAGACAAAGTCAAACATGCAGAGATGGTATAAATCAAGGATTGGATTTATCCCAGTAAGCAATGTGAATGGTTTGCTTCGATCCAAAAGGAGAAACATGGTTTTCCTTTGTAAATACTATGTTTTGTGAAGCTGTTTTAAATGCAATACTGAAATTAAGGTTGATCAATTTGCAACGGTCGCTTTAACATTGATTTAGTATCAGTTTATGGTCTGTTGAAGTATTACAAGCTTAGATGCATATACCCAGTATATGGTGTTCACATTCCCAGTTTGTAACTTGCATTACTAATGCTTATATTGTCCTCGTCATCGTTTGTTTGAATTGCTTTTCTATTGACTGAGCTTTTGTAATATAACTTGTGCTCTGTATCGCAGCTTCATAGAATTTCATTACATTCCTTAGGAAATTACATTTCACAAGATGTAATAAAAACAGCTTGCGTTTACGTGACTGTTTTATTTTACCATGGTCCATTGTTGATTGAAACATACAGTATTGCTTGCATTCTTTTAAATATTTTTGCATTCTTATGTCATTAAATAATGCAACAAACATTGACATACACTGAGTGTGGAAAACATTATGAACACCTGCTCTTTCCATGACATAGACTGACCAGGTGAATCCAGGTGAAAGCTATGATCCCTTATTGATGTCACTTGTTAAATCCACTTAAATCAGTGTAGATGAAGGGGATGAGATGTGTTAAAGAAGGATTTTTAAGCCTTGAGACAATTGAGACATGATTGTGTATGTGTGCCATTCAGAGGGTGAATGGGCAAGACAAAATATTTAAGTGCCTTTGAACGGGGTATGGTAGGTAGTAGGTGCCAGGTGCACCGGTTTGTGTCAAGTACTGCAACTGCAATGCCGTTTCCCATGTGTATCAAGAATGGTCCACCACCCAAAGGACATCCAGCCAACTTGACACAACTGTGGGAAGCATTGGAGTCAACATGGGCCAGCATCCCTGTGGAACACTTTTGATACCTTGTATAGTCCATGCCCCGACGAATTGAAGCTGTTCTGAGGGCAAAAGGGGGTGCAACTCAATATTAAGAACGTGTTCTTAATGTTTTGTCCACTCAGTGTATATCTGGCTGTATGAGACCCTCTCCAAACCCAAGTGGGAGCACCAACCAGGGGTGTATTCTGTGATGTTAGATGTCAGAATATTGCAGATGGAAATGTAATGAATAGAGCTGCCTATTATTTGTAGATACTTTACAGTCAATCATGTTGGTTCTATTTAACACTTTTCGATCTGAACATTCTATAATGTTGCATCCTCCTATCAACAGGCTCCAGGTAGAATACTCCTGGCAACACCCACACGCATACAATACCCCAGGTAATAAGGCTTTCATTTCCTAGAAGACACAGCAGTGTGCTAGAAAATGGTGGTATCACCCAAAAAAACAATGCATCTTCCTGATTGATAATTGTCTGTGAAGACCTTTCTATATTCATTCGGTCTATTGCTGTAGTGCCTGAATAGAGGTTGCCATGGTAATCTAATGAGAGGGGCCATGGAGACAAAGAGGGGATTTGCCGTCCGACAGGTGTTCCTGTAAGGGGTGTGAGACAGGATCATACCACCACCCTCATCTCAGGATGTGACAGACTGACTATAATTGGGAGCGAGATGCCCCTGCGTTAAGCAGTAGTTTAAATTATTCTTAAAGTAGTCAAAAAAACATTTGTAATCCCGTTTTATTTGGAATTGATATAAGACGCATATTTGTATGCTCTAGTGAACCACACAATAAGTGACAGGCAAACATGGAGGATTAAATCATTCAGAATGTAATGCAGAAAAAGTAGGTGACAAGATTTCTAAAGTTTTCTGAACAACAACCCCCGCTTTGTCTGGAGTACAACGCTTTGTGTTCAGCAGCTCTTCCAGCTCCTGCCTGAGTTAATGAGTGTTAATGGGAGGAGGAGTCGGTGGTGGCATGCTTTAAGGAACAGGTGACACACTCTGGCCTGGTGGAGTGACCGTCT